TTTGCTCGACATTGGCCTTTGCATCGATTTTCTATACATGATGCTTAAAATAATGGCAATAGAAAAAAGTTTATGTACATGTGACTTTATCACCCTAAATAGTTTCTGTAGATCAAAAGAATTCATCAACAGAGTAGAAGAAAAAGGGACATAATAGGAAATTATATGTGTGTGTACATATATACTTTTATAATGGAGGATAATAATGTATTTGCAAATGATATATCTAATAAAATTCAAATGAAATGCTGATGTCTTTAATATATGAAGAACTCACACATTTACAAAACAGAACATAATCCAATATTTTAAATGGACAGAGGGATGAAATAGGTAAAGATGGCAGAGTGGTACATGAAAAGGTATTCATCATCCATAACCATTAATAATTTTTTTCAAAATCACCTTGTAACTCCTAAAATTGTATCTCTGAAAAGCAAGTGATAACAAATTTGATTAGATTATGAAGCAGAGAAATCCTTTGTGTCTATCAGTGGGAATATAAATTCTTATAGACACTAGAGAGCACAGTAATCACTCATCCAGGTCTCATGGTGTTTCACTAATAAAAATTTAAAAAAAAAAGAGAGCACAGTATATACAAACTTCTCAAAAATGTTATGTCATATTGTCCAGAAGTACCCTCTCAGTGTATATCTCAAGAAAATATAGTTATAATCTCAGTAATAAAATTATAACATTGTGATATCTTGGATGAAATTCAAGTCTATTTATTCTGCTAAGTGAAATAAGACAGAAAAAATACAAAATGCAATTTCACTTATATGTATGTGGAAAAGGGTTCAATATTGTCAGCTATAATTTAAAAATGTTCTGAGTATGTAATTATATCGTGGTGACTGCTGCTAATAATATGAAGCGTAACTGCAAGTTGCAGGAGTAAATTCTAAGATTTCTCATCACTAGAAAAGACTTCTAGATCATAGAAGCAAAATGAGTTGCTGTATTTTAATGAAGACATTGTTATAACTGCTTCACAATACATGCATACATCAAATTTTTATGATCTAAGTCATAAAAGCATAATGTTATTTGTGAATTAACATTCAAAAAAACAGAGAAAATGTATTACAGATGTATTGACGAAGGGTTGTATATGAAAACCAGCTATTTCATAGTCTTTGAATACGTGATGAAAAATTATTTCCAATTGTTTTATGTATGATCTGACACAATTTGTCTTATAAAATTATTTAGGTTGAGAACAGGTAAATAGTTTTGCTGCAGTAACCACTTCTTAGCAATTTGAATAATAGTTATATTTTATATTTTCCTATTTATTATTAACTTATTTCATTTTTGTGTAAGGTTTGGTTTTAAAATGTTGTTTAACAGAATGAAATTATTTGAAATATTATTTCTGTTTCATGTAAACAGAAAAAAACATGAAAGCTATTAATCAATTAAATATTGCACTTATGAATTTATATTAAAAATTTATGTACATAAAATTGTTTTTACTTTATAGCATCATCTATTTTCTTAAATATCTTATTTACATAAGTTTAAAACTGAATTGATGGTTTTGTAATTTTATGTCAATTTAATTAGTGTTTTAATATTTAAGAGTTTCACTTTTTTGCAACAAAAGTGGCATGTACTGATACAAAAATGCCCTCTAAATCTACCTGTCACCCAATCACTTATATAAAAATGCAAATGTTCAATGTGACTAAACTTCCAATAGTTTATTATTTTAACTTAGGTAACTGTTTTTGAAGAACCTCCCACCAAATTAGACACAGATTTGGCTATCCTCATTCCACTCCCCATTGACTTGCTGGAATTGATCATCATAAACACCATAAATATGATTTTCATATGAATTTCAACTTGAAAAGGCAAGAATCCATTGGATAAAAGGCCTAGACTAAGTTGTACAATAAGGCAATGCTCACTGTATCACTGTCACTGTCATCCCATTGTTCATCGAATTGCTCGAGCAGGCACCAGTAATGTCTCCATTCATCACAGCCCTGAGATTTTAGCAGCCTCTCTTTGCTAAAACCATTTGGGAAGGACGAGTAAGGAGAGGTAAGCTAATGGTACCCAGAAATAACCCTTGAAGAAATATAAAAATGATATAAAAAAGAAATAAAAAGTAAAAAAAAAAAAGAAGAAGACTCATAACTGAAAAATTTCTCTAAAATGCAGGTGCCTTTTGTTCTCACAACAGAGTATTGACTTGAAACTTTTTTTAAAATATTGTGGCTTTTTGCTTTCATTTTTCATTTACTGTAAGCTGTTTTACACTTCCATGCATTTAAGTATTGCATTGAAATAATATTTCTGAAAATATATATGCTAAATTAAACAGTATATTCTCTGAAATGTTCTAATAGCTGAAAATTGTCATTTATTGAACTATAAATTTCCAATCAATATTTCATTTACTGGGGCTGGAGCGATAGCACAGCGGGTAAGGCGTTTGCCTTGGACGCAGCCAACATGGCCGACACAGGTTCGATTCCCAGCATCCCATATGGTCCCCCGAGCACCGCCAGGAGCCATTCCTGAGTGCATGAGCCAGGAGTAACCCCTGAGCATTGCCGGGTGTGACCCAAAAAGAAAAAAAAATATTTCATTTACCTTTTTATTGGGGGTGGATTGGTCTTTGCCTGGGCCAAATCTAGTAGTGCAAAGAGTTGGCTCTGTGCTCGTGGATCACGTTGACAGCCCACAAAAGAATGCGGTGTATGGCATTAGAACAAGGATTGTCTGCATGCAGGATAAGTGCTTTCCTTTGTGCTATCTCTGTTCTTATTTAATATTCTATTTTCTTAAATTTACACCTTCAATAACTATCTCATAACTGTCAATATTATTGAAATTATCTCTAAATCTACTTAAAGGGTATTTTCATCTTCTACAATGGCTGATAGCATGCTCAGAGTTTTCTGAAATCATATTATCCAATTATGAGAGTATAAAATATAAAAAAACTACTAACACGTAAGACATTGAAAATGTCTATTTTTCCCCCCTGGAGTTTTATCAAAATCATGTGCTATATTCATACAATGTACTCTTCTCCTTCCAAAGTCAAACATAGTTTCTCTTGAGTGCAGACAGATTTAAGAAGCAAAACATTGAAATCAAATTGGATATGGATTCCTAGGACTACAGAAAGTAGAGCCATTTTCCAAGATTTTATTATATGCTATAAGTATATTGATATCACTGACAATTCAATGATCTATATATTTTATGTTGCTTGTTCTATCTTATAAAATCTTATGAAATAAATTTGTGACTTTTCCCTGTCAGTAGAGTGTAGGATAACACTGTTTTTGTCCTTCTTGCATAGCCTCAGGTAGTTTAGGTATATTTGGGTTGCTCCCATCAATGTCCTCCCATTCCTCTATGTTTGTTTGTAACTTCTTTCTTTGTGATCTGTTGATTTATAAATACTGATTTTCTCTCCTTCCTAAGTCCTTTGCATAGTTTATTCAGAGTAACACCCTTTTTGTATGGACACAAGAAGACAGTAAATGTTAAGTTTTTGTAATGTGACTCTCAGTGATATTTTTCTCCTGGGCATATGTTCTCTCACCTAAGCCCCAGATGCCTTTACTTCCTAGTACCTCCAAAAGCAGGGTCCCGACTAGGGACTGGATGGAACCAGGGCAAGCAGGTAAGCTATGTGCTACCCTGGGATGGAGATGGGGCTGGCCAAAGTGCCATAATGCTTAACTAAAAGTTAAGAGCTTGGTCATGGACAGATGCTGTCATGATCCAAAAAGTAGTAACTAGATTCGTACCCTGCTAGGGTTAGGAAAGATTAATCTGGCCTGAGCTCTGTAGTCTGAGTCTGTGGCAAGATGTTCCCAGGAGAGCTGCCCTACAAGCCTTGATGTATCTCTTTCTGTACCCATTCAAAAATAACTAGTATTAAGATGTTAAGAGGTTTTATACAGTAAAGCACTCTCTTGTCTTTGAAATTCTACTTTGGAAGAAGTGCTAATGGAACAGCAAATAGGGCTTTTGCCTTGTCTGTGGCCTACCAGGGTTCAATTCCTGGCATCCCAGATGGTCTCCCTTGAACCGCCAGGAGTAATTCCTAAGTACAGAGCCAGGAAAAATCCCTGAGGAACATTGGGTATGTCCCAATAAGAGAAAAAAAAAAAAAAAAGAAAAAAAGAAAAAAGAAATTCTACTCTGTAACTGTAATTTCTTTGGTCTTTTTCTTTACACACTAAGATTCAATCTTTTAGCAGTATTAGATTCAGAACGAAGAACATGGCTGTCTCTTGCTTCCTTATCCTTATCTCCCGATTTTTAGGCATGTGGGTGCATGACAGAAGGGTTAAACTAAGCTGAAACAGAACAAGTCATCAAATACATAGGACGAGCAATATATTTGGGGGACAAAGGGAAGTCTCACTGTCTTGTACAGTGAACTACAGAGGTATGTGGCAGAACAAGGTAAGTTCCTTGCTCTTTCTTATTTTATGAATTGCTCTTTTGACTCACAGTCTTTCCCAGCAAGAAGCTCCTGGCAAAGTCTGGACTTTGAACAACCCCATAATTATCTTCCCCAGGACAGACTGTGCTTCCAAGCACAGACACAATAAAAATGCATGTTACAACTGATAACAACCACTCCTGGAGAACACTAAATTTAGGTTGAGCTAGAACTTTCAAAGAAACTGGGCAATGTATTAAATTCCCTTTATATTGCAGGTCCCACCACCAAAGCATCTGAAGAATTTCAGTCACCAGAATCATCCTTTGCAGTTGCCTTATCAGAACCATTTCATACCTAAAAAAGCAAGCTTCGTCCCTTGAGTGATTTTGCTTGCCCCCAAACTCTCCATCACCATGCCTTCCTTCAGGGCTGCATACAAGATCTGCCGTGGGTGGTCCTTGGCACTTCATAACCAGGTTAAGTTAAAGTCCACCACATAGTCACCAATCCTGCTTGATGAACTGCATTCACGCAGGACTGGGTACACACAGAAAAAATGATCTGTTCTTACCTAACAGCGCTGCTGCCCACATCCAGGTCTTGGGCAGTGACAGCCCCAATGATGGTCCCCACTGGAGTGTCTTCATAGACCTCCATGGTGTACAGGGGCTTGCTGAAAACTGGTGGCTCGTCCACATCCAACACACTGATCTTCACGGTGGCCGTGTCCTTAAACGGGCCAGCAGAGTGAAAGCGGTGGTCAAGGTGAAGGTTGGACGCTTCCACTTTAAATGTATAAGCCTTCTTTGTCTCGAAATCCAATGGCTGTAGCAAGATTAAATCAAAAGTGAGGAGATGGTCAAATTGGGGAACACTGTTCAAATGGGACTTGATACCAATTGTCTTCAAGTTTTTATTTTCTTTTGAAATTAGTGGTCAAAGGAAGAGGCACCAATATACCGGAGTTTTAGGTAGCTTGCACATTATAACAAACTATTTATATTAAAATGACATATATTAAGACAGTTAAAAAATTATATTCCTTTCATATGAATAGTCAGAGAACAGTAGAGCTCAGAAAAGAAAGTATTTTTATGTGCTTATCCAATGCTGCCCTCTCGTGGCATTAGCTGTAATTAAACACATTTGTGAAGCATTTATTTACAAGTTACTCGGGCAGATTTCAGTTATACGAAACGTTCCTTTGCAGCGCATCTTTATTGCTTTGACAATAATATTTTTAGATATTGAATCATTTTATTTAAAATTTTATTTTGTTTTGCTAAAGCAAAACCACTTCCGTATTTAAAACATATGCTGTGGAGTTAGAAAAATAATGCTGAACTTTTTTTGCCTTGCCAGAATTGCACATTTAGTTAATGGACACTGCGGTGTATCATCAGGGTTTGTCACCCAAGAATTAAGGCTTAGAACATATATAATACGTTTACAAAATAAACAAACTGGAGTCACTGAATCTCAGTTTTCAGTTTGCCACTGATGATATGACAGTCTTCCTGAAGACAATCTTTAAATTCTCCACTCTGAGCTTTTCTATTCTACAATTTTTCTGTTTTATTTAGTGAAAATTTTAAAGTCGATATCTCTAATTTCAAATTCCTCTCTGACAAACTAAGAAAATATAAAATTGATAGTGACGTAGTGATTTTCTGGGATTTTAATTTCTGTGTTCGAAATTAGACTGTAGTGCCATATTTATTGTTAATTATTAACGTATCCTTTTTTCTATTCCTTTAAAGCAGTGGGGAATAAAGGAGGTATGCTTCCCTTTAAAGGATAAAATTGGTCTTCATGCATTTCCTAGAGAAAAAAAATTAAAAAGATCACTATGAAGTCATTGTGCTGGAGCGTTAGCACAGTGGGTAGGGTGTTTGCTTTGCATGTGGCTGACCCAGCCGACCAGAGTTCGATTCCTCCGCCCCTCTCAGAGAGCCCAGCAAGCTATCGGAGTATCTAGCCTGCAGGGCAAATCCTGGCAAGCTACTTGTGACGTATTCAATATGCCAAACACAGTAACAACAAGTCTCACAATGGAGGTGTTACTGGGCCCATTCGAGCAAATCAATGATCATCAGGAGGACAGTGCTACAGTGCTATGAAATCACCAAAAAGTATTACACTTTAATATAATTTGTTAGAGCAAACAGAGCAGCTCCTAAATTTGACATTGTTTCATAAAATTGTAAATCCAGGAGCAGGAGTGGTTAAGACACTTGCCTTGTAAGCAGCCCATCAATTCCAAGAAACCCATATGTTATGTTACCTGAGCTGGGCCAAGAGTGATTCCTGAGTGCAGAGCCAGCAATAAGCCCTGTGAGCAGCTGGTGTGGCCCCAAAACAAAGAACCACAAAAGATTTTCATTCAGCTAATCTGAATTTATTTCCCCTATGATTATCATTTGTAGCGATCTCCAAGCCTACTCAGATTTGGGCCGAGCATCCTCCACCCAGATCCTCCAAATTGCAGTAGACGGGGGTCACACCCACCAACTGGCCCCCTGGCACCGTGTAATCCCATCAATGGCCAAGACTCAGAGACTATAAAAACCAGATCCCGGAAGAGAAGAGTGCAGTCTTCTTTCTGCCCTTGCGCCTGACTGTCCTCGCCGCTGGGGCCCCTTGGAGGGGAGCGGGTTGAGCTTTCCTCCCTGCCCGGACCAGGGCTCCAGCAGCCAAAGACCTCCAGGACCAGCCACCACCATGCTGAGACCACTCTCTGCACACATGAAGGTTCTGGCAGAGGGACAAAGCCATGCGGTTTCCGGGGCCGAGATCTCCAAGCCTACTCGGATTTGGGCCAAGCATACTCCACCCAGATCCTCCAAATTGCAGTAGGCGGGGGTCACACCCACCAACTGGCCCCCTGGCGCCGTGTAATCCCATCAACGGCCAAGACTCAGAGACTATAAAAACCAGATCCCGGAACCCCGCGGCCGCAAATCTTATTATGACATCTTATTATCTCATTCCTACTTTGGACAAACTGGCAGGCTACCGAATGTAGCCTGCCCACACAGCAGAGTCTGGCAAACTCCCCGTGGCGTACCCAATATGCCAAATACCAGTAACAATAATGGGTCTCATTCTCCTAAAGAGCCTTGAATATAATCTCAGGGCTAGGATGAAGGAGACGTTACTGGGGCCTGCTCGAGGCAATCGACGAATAACAGGATGATTTGTGATTGTGATTTGTGATTATCATTTATTTGATCCAATTCATAACTACACAAAATACTTTCTTCTACTTGACTGAGATCTACATAAATATAAGATCAATTTTCTTCAATATCTATATGTTTGTGCTAGAGATTTTGACCATTCCAAAGGCCCATAAACAAGTAATATACCTAGTGTACCACATTTGCCTGATACTATGGCTATCGGTATTAAGAAATATGAGTATCTTCATCTGGGGAACATAAAGTAACAAAATAGGAGACTAAAACCCAAGAATAGCCAAGATAAGTACCAGGAGGTTCACCCCATGGCTTGGAGGCCAGCCACAAATGCTAGGGGAAAAGGCAGCTCAGATAGAGAAAGGAGCACCAAATAAAGAGTGTTGGGAGGATCCTCCCAGGATGGGAGCAGCATGCTGAAAGTAGACTATAGACCGAACATGATTTCCACTCAGTGCCTCTTTTGCAAGCCACAGCACCCAAAGGGAGAGAGAGAACAAAAGGGAATGCCCTGACACAATGGCCGGGTGGGATAGGGGGAAGGGTGAGAGGGATACTGGAATCAGTGGTGGTGGAAAATGGGCATTGGTGGAGTGATGGGTACTCAAACATTGTATAATTGTAACCCAAGCACAAAAATTTGTAAGTCTACAACTGTACCTCATAGTGTTTCACTAATAAAAATTAAAAAAAGAAAATACGAGTATCTAAAGAGAAGAAGTATTCTTACAGCACTCCTGATTTTATCCACTTACTACTTGATTGCTATATTTTAGTCAGGGAATCAGACTCAAGAAAAGACAAGCAATTATCAAATAGAAGGGGGAAATCACTATTCAAGCTTCAAAAAAACTGTTAAAATTACTGGGGATGGATGGATTACAATGAAGATCAAGGCTGAGTTTGACTTTATAAATCTGTCAGAAAAAAAAGAACCACAAAATTTAAGATTTATTAGAAATAATTACTTTAGATTTAAAACAGGAGACACCTCTAACAAAAAAAATCAACTTAGTATTAAGTCAATTTTTAAAATATTACAGGCCAAAATGGTGGTGATGCCTAGGATATATCCCGCTGGAAAGAAGAGAAAGATGCAGTAGGACTACTAAGTCTTACTTTTTCTTTCCACATGTCTCAACTAGAGATTAGCGAAACTATATTTTGTTCAGCGGATACAAAAAAAAATCATTTCATTTTGCTCAGTGAATAACATAGTTAAGGAACTTCTAAGCTAAGGAATTTCTAAGTTCTTAGTCATTTGATATGTTCGAAAGAAATAAGATATCATTCAAGATATCTTATAGAGAAAGGTAGAAGGTAGAAGAATTTCATAATCTATCAAAATTAAGAAAACAACACATAAGACATAGTAAATATAGTTTCTGTTTTTGAAAATTCTATAAATGTAAAATAAGAACACAATTTCTATGTAAACAGTTCCTACCTTTGATGCTAGAAGATAGTATTTGATAAGCAAATACTATTTAGTTGGCACTATGAGGGCCTTTTGCTTAGAAAGCTAATTAAAATGTCTTGGCTCATTTTTGTTCCTTTCTATGGTCATAATTATGTCCTCAGATATTCATCTACGGTAGAAGGTAAACTATTTGCGTTCAAGCTTATATTGGCCTAGTTGATTAAAATACTATAACTGCTTGGTGAACTTGATGTCCCATTTCAAAGTTTTTTTTCCATTTAGAAATGGAGAGTTCTGAAATAGTTCCTAGAATTTTAGCAGATTAGACAGAGTCTGTGCCTTTTAAGACTTTCTGACCCATCACAGCAGGTAAACGCCTGGTAGCTGGACTGATTTTAGAGATGAAAGATCCATTCTGTCCATACAGATTTTTTTTTAACTGAAAACGAATATCCTGCAGTGATCAAAGTACTGGAGAAAATTGTAGGAGAAACGTCATAGTATCCTTGGCAGTGAGTGACTTGGGCTCTTAGGAAATGCCACTTTATGAAACACAGGAGCAGAGAAAGAACATAGGGCATTAGCTATTAGCTTATTCGGAATCATTTCATTCAATTTACCTGACTACCCTAGTGTTTTTCCTGGAGGAGTGAGCGTGGCAGTGTTGAGGAAAGAAACTCATGAAACATTATAATAAACGCACAGTTTAATATTTCCCATTTGCATAGAACAAATGGGATCATTTCTTTTGAAAAAGTTATCATAGACCTGGAGGAAAATATAGCAGATACACAGTTGTCTTGCACGCTGCTGACCTGGGTTTCATTCCTAGCATCTTTTATGTTCCCTGAGCCCTGTCAGGACTGTTCCCTAACTGCAGATCCAGAAAAAGCCCTGAGCTCCACTCGGTGTGGCCCCCAAAGGCATACGCCCTACCACTGTGCTATCGCTCCAGACCTAGATAGATGATAAATAAATAAATGGAGAGGGAAAAAAAAGAAAAGCAAATTTATTCTATAATAGGAACCATTATTATGAAGCTTAGCTGATTTAACTCTTCATTTGTTTTTCTTTTTTTTCATTTTCCTTTTTAATTTTGTGTGTGTGTTGCACACCCAGCAGTGCTCAGGATTACTCCTGGTTCTGTGCTCAAGTACTCATCCTGGTAAGACTCAGGGGACCATATGGGGTGCTGGGGATTAAATTCA